ATTCAGTAGCCACAGAGGGCACTTCACAAATGGTTTAAATGTAGTTCTGGGGCTGGGATGTAGTTCGGTGGTACAGCGCTTGCCTAGCATGCGTGAGGCCCTGGGTTCGATCCCAGCACCAAAAAAGAAAAGACAAAAAAAAAAAAAAAAACCTCTCCCCTTAAATGTAGTTCTGTGCTGGAGAGATCATGCCATTCAGATTAGCCTGGTATTTGGAACTAACAGCAAAGAAAAACTTCCATCAGAAATCCTACACCAATTAACACGCCTTCATGCTAGACTGACTCCTGAATCTGGGAGCAGTGGGTGTCACATTTTCCCAAAGTGGTACCTAAGCCAACCTTTCTACATTGAGCAAGTTAACAAGCAGCTTGTGAGGAACTCTTTGCCCACTCCAGCCCAATTTAGAAGGCTGCTAATCGGATGAGATAGCCATCTGCCACACTCTCTACTTTGCTGGGATCCATCTCTGTCCCCCAAGTGCTTCTTTTCCACTACTGGAGGGTCTGGTGTCCCTAAAGTAGTCACAGCAGTGGGAGTAGGCTGGAGCGCGAGCCTGGCCTTTCCCCAGGCGGAAGAGAGCCTTGCCTCAGACCCTGTGAGCCAAGAAGGGAGTGGGGGCATCACATTCCCAGCAGCAGGTTTGGCTGTAGGCCAAGCACTGAGTGGCAAACAAGAAGGAACACATTCCAGGAAGGCAAGGAGGCCTGCCAACACCAAGGCAGCCTAGCAAGCAGGGCCCTGCTGGGCGCCAGGTGCTCCTTGTCTCTATGGAGGTCAGGCATACAGAGGATTGAAATGCATTAGCATCTCAGAGGCTTAATGCCTCCCTCCTTCTCTCTTTCAGGGGCCAAAGCATATGTAACTGTTAAATTTCAAACCTCTTGTCCGAGGGTCCAACCTGAGCTACCCAAGGAAAGGAAAGCAGGAGGAGAAAGATTGTTGTTGCCATCCTGAAGTCACACTTTGCAGGAGCTGGACATCTTTATGGACGTCTTTAATTCTGTGCCCTGAGTGAGAGGAGATGTCCCCATAGTAAGAGCAGGGCAGGGGAAGAGTCTGGGATTGTGCCCCAGAAGCTGAGCCAGAAACACAGATACACACTTGTCCATACATACGGGTTCTGCCTTCCTGTCAGCCAGACCTTCACAGTCTGGAACCGTTTCCTTTCAGAATGACCATAGGCCTTTGCCCAGGCTGTGAGGGGGTTGGAGAAAAGAGCCAAAGAGGACAGAGTTGACCATTCCTTTGGGGGATGGGGTGGCCACATAAGCCTGCTGGGAGATTCCCTCCTTCCATTGCATAGACAGGTGCACTGGACTTGGAAGAAGCCTGGGATCCTTTTCACCCAGCTAGGAGACTGGAGGGCCCTTTCTCAGAAAAGAGGCTAAAGTCTTCTTGCCGGACTTTGCTGCCATCTAGTGAACCAGTCATGATCTCGTTCTCATCAGAGACAAAGTAGCATCGGACTGAGCCTCCGTCTGGCTTGAAGCAAACCTGATATCCTTCCCTGAGAAGTTTCTCTGGCCTAGGACTCCCTGGTTCTGTGGCCCAGCAAGTAGGACAGAGGGACAGCATCGTCTCCAAGAGCTGACCGGTGTGGTGGGTGACCTAATGACATGCAGCTAAGTGGGAGGCCACAGCTGGCTGGGCAGGATGAGGTTGTGTCCTGTGCCCAGAACATCTCCCCTGGGTGTGGGCCGAACTCCTGGCTGAGCTCCTCTCATTCCTGAGTGCCCATTTCACCACCCTCCTGCCCTCCCACGGCTCTTCTGCTCTGGCTGAGGCCCACATTGCAAACCTGAGGCCCTGCCATGTGCATCTCCCTTCATTTCCCCAAATTTAAGATGGCTATTTCTCCCTTATAAAGTTAGCTCATTTCAGCTTGAAAATGAGACTAAATATGACCATATGTCCTCTCTGTGATGCTGCTGCCATCAGTGGGAATAGTGGGAAGGGGTCATATTTTGAAGACTCTTATTGGATTGGTTTCTCTAATTTCTTCAGAAGTCTGTAGATGGTCAGCCATATCTTCGTATATATTATATCCAGGTATTTATTTCCTCTGGCAAAGAAAAGCCCTTGGTTTTAGCAACCACTAAACCACCCTACCAGCCTCAAACTTTCAGATCTGAGCTATGCTCAGATCCAAACTCTTAATAAGATTTTTTAATTATGGTGCACATAACATAAAATTTGTGTTGTGCCATTTTTAAGTGTGAGGCTCGGTAGTGTTAATTAAGTATATCCACAGTGTTGTGCAACCAATCTCCAGAACTCTTCGTCTTGCAAAACTGAAAACGATACCCACAAAGCAAGTCTCCATTCCCCCCTCTCTTAACCCCTGGCAACCACCATTCTATAAATTTGTACCATTCCAGGTACCTGCCATAGTACCTAGGGAAACCATACAGTATTTGTCTTTCTATGAATGACTTATTTCACTTAGCACATCCTCAAGTTTCATCCATGTTGTAACATGTGTCAGAACTTACTTCCTCCTCAAAGCTGAGCAATGTTCCACTTCTTCCATACCACATTTTGTTTATTTGTTGATGAATAGCTAAACAACTTCAGTTGCTTCTCCCTTTTGATCATTGTGAGTAAAGCTGTTGTGAACATAGCTGCACAAATCTCTTCAAGACCCTGCTTTCAACTATTTTGCATACCTACCCAGAAGTGGAATTGCTGAACTTCAGGATCATATGGTAATTCTATTTTGGGTGGATTTTTTTTCCTTTGAAAAGCATGCACTCTACCACTGAGCAACCCCCCAGCCACAAGCTACACCATTTTTCATTCCCACCAACAGTACAAGGGAGTTCCAGTGCTTCCACATTCTCACCAACACTTACTATGTTTCTTTATATTAGTCACCTTAATGAATGTGAGGTGGCATTTCATTAAGACTTTGATTTGCACTGTCCTACTGAGTAGTGCTGTTGACCATGTTTTATCGGATGTGGGCCATTTGTTTTCCTTTTTTAGAGAAGTTATCTCTTCAAATCCTTTGCCCATTTTTCAATTCCACCATTCATTTTTTGTTGTTGAGATGACCCATTCAGCCTCCTTTCATCTCACTCTCTGACTTAGTATCCCACAGCCATGTAGAGTGTTTCTGTGTTTCTCAGAGACATGTATACTCTTTCCCACATTTTTTTTTTCCAGTCCTGGGGCTTGAACTCAGGGCCTATGCCTTGAGCCACATCACTAGCCCTTTTTTGTGATAGGTTTTTTGAGATAGGGTCTCATGAACTATTTGCCTGGGCTGGCTTCAAACCACAATCCTCCTTATCTCTGCCTCCTGCATAGCTAGGATGACAGGTGTGAGCCACCAGGTGCCCAGCTTCTTTCCCACCTTTTATGGTTACTGATCCCTTTTCCAGAAATGGTCCTTTCCCAGCTCCTCCCAGGACTCATCCTTCAGGCACCAACTTAAGGGTCACTTCAGAGAACATTCTCAGCCACCTTATCTAAAACCACTCCCTCTTTATTTTCTATCCCTGTTTCTTTCTTTTATGGGACCAATCACAACCTGCAATTACCTTGTCTGCTTACATATTTATGGGAACTTAACTTTACATGGAATGTCAGTTAAGTGCCTTTGGGACACGGATATCACCTAACATGTTCACTGCTACATCTCCAGTGCCTAGCTTAGTAGCTGGCATAGAGTCTGGGCTCACTAATATTTGAATGAATATACTGCTAGAAGGGGACATTCTTGGGAGAAATCAAAATGTGATATGACCCAAATTGGAATGTAGCATCCCTAGGCTCTAAGTTCTAGAAAAATCCATAGGAGTTTTCTGACTTTGAATCCTATACATTAATTGTTGACTCAAGTACTGTTTAAACTAGGGACCTTACTTTGGAGTTGCCCAGGAGAAATGAGAAAGCATTCCTGGCACTGATCCACCAGAGGCAGAAGACTGAGCTGGTTTATTGTGGCCTTCCTTTGCCCTTCCCCATAATAAGCCTGAGGTGTTAGTCAACTCAGATAAATCCTTTTAGATTTGCAGAGTACTTGAGATTCTGGGAATGACTTGGACACCATCAGTCTTCTGGGTGACGAGTATGTGAGTAAGAATACCTTTCGTGAGTAGTCAAAAGATAAAAATGGGACACTAGAAAAATTAGGGGTTTTTTTATTTAAAATTTTTCCAAAGTTAATGCCATACTGGAACAACCCAAGGTTGATTGAACCAATTCTCAGAGAATTAGCAGAGCATTAGCCAATGCAAGCAGGAATGTATAAATACTCATAAATTAGCACAACAGAACATACAGTAGCCCCAGAAGACCAAGCTGGGGGACAAAACAGAAAGAGAGAGGGACAGGTATACCCACACCACTTAAACCCCTGGGCCCAAACATGTCTCCAAAGCCATACCCACAGCATGCCTCCTGCCCTTTGTGAGCCTGGGATCTGGCTGGAGGCCAGGTTCACCAGCATGTTGGCACATCCATTCATGACCTGGCATCTCTCTTGGCCTCTGACTCAACCTAGCAGGCTCAGAGAATGGATTTGTTCTCCTTGTCTTTCACCAAGGACTTGGGAGGGAAGGAGGAGGATTGTTTTCCCGGGAAATATGATGGCAAAGAGTGATGAAGGGGGCTGGTTCCAAAAAAAAAAAAAAAAAAAGGGCATTCATCTGATGTGGCACTGTGAAGAGGATGAACAGTGAGTTAGTTTCACCTGAGACATACAGATTTGGTGCAAGCAGCACAGAAAGCCAGACTCTAATCTCAATTATAGAAACTGGGATGGGAAGGAGGATGAAGAGACAGTCTGAGCTCAGGGAATTGTCACCTACTGTTGGTCCCTCCAACCTATTTGGGTTTGTCGTGAACAAGAGAACCTTGCCTCTGCAATAAACAATTTCCATCTGAGTTTCCTCCCCTGATTAAACTTGCAGGATCAGAGAGAGGGAAGGAGTGGCTATTTGGGACAGCTTTCACCCCACTACCAACACTTTTCCCTGATACCTCTGACCTTCTCACAAAGACCCTTCTAGATCCTCCAAAGGCACTGTCTTAGCGGATGAGAGTCCTGGACAGAGACGGCAGAGGGAGGAGGACTCTCCAAGACAAAAAGCATCACTATGTCCACTTATTTCATCCTCTACCTCTCTTGTCTCCAGAGGGGCAGACCCCCTTCTGGTCCCTACACTGAGCAGGCCCAACTGGGTCATGGAGAATAGATCCCATGGAGTGAAGGACCCTTCTTCATGACCTGCAGCACTGACTGCAGATGATATGTGTAAGCTCTGCTCTGTGGTGGCCCCACAATATCTGCTCCACTGCCCAGCCAAGCCTCCCTGACAGGCTGCTGTCAGGCAAGCCTGACATCTGGGCAGTGAGGCAGAGAGTACAGAGCAAGACGTCAAATCAAAGCTGCCTACTTCCAGGGCCCGGAATGTTTTGGAAATTGTTTTGAGCACAGAGGAATACACCTACTACTAAGGTTGGCCCACTTGACCAAAGGTCCTACTCTACCTGTCTCACCAAAAAGCAGCAGCTGGGAACAAGGGATTCTGGGACTTCCAGTCTCCTTCATTGCCCCTCCCTGCTGCCATCTCCTGCTGTGGATTGCATCTTTCCAAGTGCAGCCAGGCTCAGAGCATGAAGCTTCATCTAGTGCTGGAATCCTGACTGCCAAGCTCTCCTCTCTGCATCGCAGGCCTCTGCCCAGGCCTGAGAGGGGCCTGGTTCCCTGCAGAGAAGCCCTTGAACTCCAGAATGTGCACCTCTTGGTGCACCGTGCACCATGTGACAGCATGAGCGAGCTCGGAGCCCACACAGTGGTTTGTGTTCTGGCCTCTGTCCCCCTCGCCCAAGTAAGCCATGTGATAGCAAGCAGCATTCCAGGTATCAAAGCACGGCCTTTGTCCCTTGTGGCAGCCCCTAGCGCTGTGTCCCTGTGCCAGAACTGTTTCCAAGGAACAAGTTAAATTTTTTTCTTAGTGAAGTGCTTGCAGAAGCTTAGTGTGCAAGATTCCTCAGTTGGTTCCAAAAACCTTGCTTTTGTTTGAGTCCAAAATCTGTAGGAGCCAGTTAATTTGTAAACAGGTACTCCGGATCACTCATGGAGGGAGTGAGAAGAGAGGCAAGGAGGAGGACAGATCTATAATATTTTCCTTCATACTCAGTCTCTGCACAGCAGCAACATAAACCAAAAGGGACCATTGATAGAGATGTAGCACCCAGAGTCTTCTTGGAGAAGGTTTGGGGACAAAGGCCAAGTAGCTGTTACCTGCACATAGGAAAAGATGCTCAGATCAGAGAACAGACCCAAAAGACAGGCAGACACAGGAGAAGGGCCAGTGAAACCTTTTCTGCCCTTGAGAGTGGGCCAGGGTGGGCTCTGTGTACCCTGCATGCATGCCCCCCGCCTTGCTTAGGGCCATCAAACCAGCCTAAAGCAAGACCAAGTTCAATAAGAGTAACAGGCAGCCTGGCCCTTAGCTAAACCCTGAGTTCCAAAGGCATTAGGAGAGAAGGGTCTCACCTGTGCGCAGGGAATGGCCCATCCCAATTCAAGGAGCACAGCTGCTGTTCCAGCCGGGAGATGCGGAAAGCCAGATAGGATGAGGACAGGACCAACAAGCAGATTCTGGCAAAACAGGGCAAGGCGTTCAATCTTTCTTTTGTAGTACTGGGGCTTTGAACTCAGGGCCTCACGCTTGCTAGGCAGGTGCTCTACCACCTGAGCCCCTCCGCTAGTCCCTTTTTTATGTTGGGTATTTTCAAGAAAGGGTCTCATTTGCCCAGGGATGGCTTTGAACTACAATACTCCTGATTGCTGCCTCGTGAGTAGGTAGGATAACAGGTGTGAGCCACTGGCACCCAGCCCAGGAATTCAGTCTTTGTTGTTTCTTTTTGTTTTTGTTTTGTTTTGTTTTGTTTTTTGAGACAGAGTCTCCTTTGTAGCCAAGGCTGGCCTTAAACTCATGGTCCTCCTACCTTGGCCTCCCAAGTGCTGGAATTACAGGCATGCACCACCATGCCTGGCCAGGAGTTGAATCTTTCTTCTAGAAAAAAGGGCATTTTTGGAGGCTCACCAGGAATAGGAGTGGGAACTACGCCACACTGGCAATTGAAGGAATTGAGGAACCCTTTACATTGCAGCCATATACAGGCCTGGGATCTTTGTCCTAGAGGCTCCATGGGAGTTCTGAGACTCATTCCCACAGAAATGTCCTCATAGCTTAGCAGAAATTCTGGGCCATTCAGTCAAGCTCTGAAGGAAGCCCTAGCCATACAGCCAGAACTGTCATTCTACCTTCCTTCTGAACAGCCACCTTGGTCCTTCCTGTGCCTCCCTACAAGGCCATCAGGGTTACCCTGAAGTGGTAGGCCTGCTCCCCTAGCACATGATAGGGGCAATAGTCAAACCCAGGCAGAAGAACAAGAGAAAGTGGATAAGGCAAGATAAGGAGAAGCCAGGGGCTGGCTGTGCCTACAACTTCCTACCATGCTCACCACTCTACTGGTTGGTCCTTAGAAAGAGCTATAAACAGAGCCAGGAATGGTGGCATAGGCCTGTAATCCCAGCACTTATAGAGACAGGAGGATGGTGAGTTCAAGGCCAGCCTGGGCCAGACAGAAAGACCCTATCACAAGAAAACAAAACAGCTGGCGGAGTGGCTTAAGTGGTAGAGTGCCTGCTGAGCACTCCAGTGCTCAAACCCCAGTACCAAAAAAGAAAAAAAAAATAAAGCCCTCTCCAGGAACTGCCTTGGTGGGGACGGTGGGGAGAGCAAGTATTTCCCCGGTCAGTATTTTCCCAGCTCTCCAATTCTGCCAGCCTTCTCCCTCCCGAATCCTGGGCAGCAGCTTTTTTTAACTCAACAATTTCACCTCCTACCCCTGCCCTCAACACAGCCAGAAGCCTAAATCAGAGGGTCTCAGGAATGGAAGCTTTAGAATGATCTTCAGACACCACCCAGGAGCTTAAAGTAGGCTTGAACACTTCCGCGGCTCTGGGTGGTGACCGCCCCACTCTCCAAGGCCCCTGTTCCAAACACCTAGCCCCCCAGATGGGTCTGCCCTCCTCCCTCAATGTAATCACCTACATCACGAAGACGATCTTGAGGAGCCGGGAATCCCAGAGCCTCAGCTGTTGGTTGCTTGTGGACTCCTCCTCCAGCTGGTCATCCTCACAGATGGCTTTCTCTGCAATGGGAAGGCAGCTAGGCATCTTCCTAGGGCAGCCAGGACCCCTGCCAGCTTGGGGCATGCTCCCCTCCCCTCCTTGGCTGAAGCTGCTTGGGTCTTGACTTTTCCAGATGGGTTTGGAGAAAGAAAGAAACAGTACTGAGAAGCCCTGCTGGCTATAATGAGCCCTTTACACAGAACGAGGAGAGACAGTCTGGCCTCTGCAAGCAGTAGCCACAGACAAGACCCCTGAACTCACCAGACCCAGGAGGCTTCCTGGACGTGAAGCAGCTGTCTGTGGGGTCTGGGGATGCCCGAGGAATACAAGGGATGTTGTCAGGGAGTGACCCGGGGGCAGGGCACACTTTTCTCCACTTCATTTCAGGGATGAGGACTTCCTGAAGAAAAGCCAAGAGAACTCGTGTCCATGGCCCCCAAGATCTCCCTTTCCCTAAGGGGCCCACACCAAGTTTATCAAGGTTTTCTTCGATATGGATGCCTAGCCAGGGACTGAGGCAAATACAGGAATGGGTACAATTGCCACAGCAATCACATGTCTATCCTGTCTGCTCCCTTGCTGTGACGCCAGTCTCCGCCAAGAAACAATGTCTTTGAAGACTGCCAATGGAGAGCCATCATGGGATCTTAGGACAACCAACCCAGAAACATGCTCAGATCTGAGTCCAAGAAAGCTGGGCACAAGACTTAGATGGTGTAGATTTTTGCTCCTTCTAACCAGGGAGCAAATCATTGACCTTAGCAGAGAACTCTTAGGGTTCCTATCAACAAAAACGGGAACATCACCTTCTGTCCCCTGCCCAGTGTTATGATGTGTATTGCATGCTTGACTAATGCTTCAAACACCCTGAGGTCATTTCCACCCCCTTAACCCCCCCCACCCTCTGGCCCAAAAACTCAGTTCTGCCTATCCAGGGCCCCAGCTGCCAAAGGAAACTTCTGGAACCCCTGCAGATCTGAACTCTGATTATCTCATGACAGCCTTTGGAGTTCTCCAGGGACATATCTATCCCTTGAAGACCTCCTGACCCCATCCGAGGAAAAAGGATCACCAGCCTTGCGTCAGGTTGTAGGACCTAACCTGGCCAGTGTTCTGGGGGCTGGACTTCTGCTCTGCTCACAAAGTCAGCAAGGAGCTAAGTAGTGCTGCATGGCATGGAGTCTAGGGGACCCTGTGGTACAGCATGGCCACTGGCTGTGGAACCTGGTGCCCCACTTCTACCTTCCTGGGAGGTCCTGAAACCCTGGAGCCACCAGAATTCTCAGGCTAGCAGCACCAGCTCCCAACCTCAGCTCTCACCAGAGACTCGCACTCAGCTTCCTCGGGAAACTTCCTTACACTAAGACTCTTCTTGCTGGAAGGCTAAGAAGGAAAAGGAATAGGCAAGATGAGACCTGGGGAAGCCCTGACTCTCCAAGATAACCTTGCCTCTGGGAAGAGAAGCCCAACCCCCAGTTTGCAGGGGCCTCTTTGACTTTGGAGTAGAGTGACAAATCCCAAGCCCCTGCCCCTTTGCCTTCTCCCCTTCCTCACCTAGGCCAGGGACAGTTGTAGGGCACATTGGGAAGTAACTGCACGCTCCTACTTGTACACTAAGGAAACACAAGTGAGCATTGCGTACGCATGGGAACGCACACGGGCCTCAAAGAGACAGGTTCATAGATCCGCAGTCCAAGTACAGCCTCTGGCACACTGGCCTGAAACATTGACTTCCTTTTCTCTGCTCCTGTTCCTTTACCTTCCCTAACAGCCTTGTCCTGACCCAACTGCTACCCACGGGCTACATACCTGTAGGTGGGTGCAGACCCTCCTCAGCATGTCATACACACTATCCCGGGAGAGCAGTGACACAAAGACATACTGGGACATGGAAAGGAAGCAGAAAAGAGGGTGAGACAAAGCCCCTTGCTCCATGGATTGGTGGCAGGTCTGTGGGCTATGGGGCTGTGAGAGCCAACAAGACCCCCGTGTAGGAATGACACTTCCAACTGGTTACAATCGTGAAGTATCCATTGGAGAGCTGTGGGCTGGAGAGAAGGAAAGGCCTGGGAGTGGGCCTGATGGTGGCCCACAGGAGCTGTGGGCCCCTGTGGCTGGGATGGGGACACAAACAAGGGAGCACTGTCCAAGAGACTCACTGACCTTCTGGCCAGTGTTGGTGGTGATGACCAGTCCATTGGGAAGGAGCCGTGCCATCTTGTGTTTTTTGATCATTTGCACAGATACCACGGGAATAACCACCTGAGAGGGAGAGACATACTTTTCTCAAGGAGTCACCCCCAAGGACCCTTTTATCTCTACATAGGGTGGGGCCAGACACCTGGAGAAGGCTGCCTCAAACTGGTAGAGCATCTAGGCCTTCCACCTTCTCATCAAGCTCTCCCTTCTGTTATCCCCACCACCCTTTCCCAGCCTCGGCAGCACATGCCACTCCAGCCTCTTGCCTAGGTACAATCCCTGTTATCTAGGAGACAAGGATGGCGGCTCTGGTGAATCCCACACTCTTGGTAATGGAGTTCCTTGGACTAACTCTTGGCCACATTGACAGATCCCCCTTAATGTGACATCCACTCTGATTCTGAAGGCATTTCTGAGAAAACCAAAGGCAGAATAATTTGGCTGTGAATTGGTCTGGCCAGATGTAGGGTCAAGATCAGGGTCCCTGTTTTAGAAGGGAGAGGGCTACTTCCCAGGACACTGGATGAGATGCCTTGATGTGGCTCATCCAACCCCTGAGAGGCTTCACCATGTACCCAGCACGCAGAGGGATAGGCATGACTTGAAGTGTGCCCACAGGGCAGGAAGCTGTCTCTTCCCTGGGTGCGGGCAGGGGGCTCACTGGGCCATGGCAGCCCTTACCACTCATTACTACCTTGATATCCTTGCCAAAGAGGCTGGCATGGAAGCAGAGCCAGTTGGGGGAGATGTAGAGCCGGCCCTGGAGAAGGAGGTCCTTTTGGAGGGCACAGGAGCACACTGGGAAGTCACAGGAGAGAAGACGGCCATGAATAAGGTCAGACTGACAAGCTCCAGGGCCTGGGTCCTCACACTCAGGAGTTCAGAGTTCAACCTTAGCGCCCATCCTCCTCAGACCCCCTGCCTTCATCCCACCTCAAATAGCAAATTCCCCCTAAGCACTCCAAGAGCCCTTCTGGGAATCTGCCCATTCCACCCTCCAGGCTGCTAGATGTTTCTTCTTTCTCCATAAGCCACAGGGTCCAAGCAGACTTCTGCCCAGGTCTCCATGCCTGGACTTGAGCTCAGGAAGAACCCCTTGCCTTGCCCTCCTCTGCTCTGTCCTGTTCTGGCAAGAGGACCTCGACTACATCAATGTCCGTAGTGTTCAGTGAGCAGCCTGAGCAGGAGAGAACAGTCACTGAGAAGAGCAGAACAAGATTTGCAAGCCTGCATCTCCTCAATAAAACCTTCACATGGTGGGGAGAGGGTGAGGGCAGGGGGCAGGGGGGAGAAATGACCCAAACAATGTACACACATGTGAATAAATGAATTTTAAAAATCCTACCGTTAAAAAGTAAATGAATAAACAACTAAAAGAAAAGCTTCACAGCAAGGCAATGATGGCTCATGCCCATAATTCTAGCCATTAGCCCAGGCAAATAGTTTGTGAGACCCCCATCTCCAAAAATAACCAGAGCAAAATGGACTGGAGGTGTGGCTCAAGCTAGAGTGGTAGAGAGCCTGCATTGCAAGCATGAAGCTCTTGAGTTCAAACCCCAGACCCACCAAAAAGACACACACACTCGCATCCACAAAAAAAACCAAAAACACCTCATAGCCGGGTGCTGTTAGCTAATGCCTGTCACCCTAGCAACTTGGGAAGATGAGATGGGAGGATCGCAGTTCGAGGCCAGCAAGAGCAAAAAAATTAGTGAGATTCCCCATCTCAACAGGAACAAAGCTGGGTGCGCACCTGTCACCCCTGCTATGGCAGGAAGCATAAAATAGGATTGTGGTCCAGACCAGTCTGGGCAAAAAGGGAGACACTATCTCTAAAATAACCAGAGAAAAAGAAGGGCTGGGAGTATGGGTATGGCTCAAGTTTGTAGAACACCTGCCTAGCAAGTGCAAAGCCCTATGCTCAAATTATAGTACCACTAAAACAAAACAAAACAAAACAAAAAAACCTTCATAAATTCAACTTTGTAGTACAAACCAACACAGTCTTCTCACACTTTTGGAGAGAAAAAGACCAATCACATCTAAAGGACAACAAGTTCCCATATCTAAATTGTGCCTTGGAGGCTCCAGGGTGAAGGCCTGGGTCTCAGGCACTTATGGACACCTGCCAGCCACCCCGCAGAGGCAGCTTACCTTTGAGAACCATCTCCTCCGGGGGGATGTCCTTAAACAGCTTATGGTATTGCTGGTTGTATTTACCCAGTAGTGTCTGCAAACACACAGGCTGGTCTGAGAAGCTAGGGGGAGATCAGACCACCAAAAGGGTCCTACTCTGGCCACCAGGAAATAATGCCACAGGGACCCTCTGGGGATTTTGCATGACAGCCAGTGGGTGTAGATAACTGGGTTCCAGACACAGCACCTGGTAACACTGAGTTCTCACAGGCAGCCTGAGACTGGAAGGGGACACAGCACTCCCACCCAGGCAGGGATACCCACTCAGGTTTCCCATTGGCCCTGGTGGCCAAGGAGCCATTACTGAATTGAGGCGGCCCAGGGCACCTCCCAGGTGAGCAGCAGGACAGCAGCCTCCATGCACTTACCCCTTCCCGGCCATACTTCTTTATCTCTTCGCCCTTCAAGCCTTCTGGCCAGTGCAGACTGCAAAGGAGACATTCCATTCCAGGGACAAGGAACCCTTGAGTCTGCCCCTGCAGCCTCAGTGCCAGTTCTGCACTGCTTTGAGCCACAAGGCTGGGGCAGAGATTGGAGACTAGGGCCCTTCTCTAGGGGACACAGCAGAGCAAGCACGCAGTTCAGTTCATCCCTGGGAAAGTGTGCTCCTGTATGCAAGGTAAGGCACTGAGAGCCCTCCTTGCCAGGTAGGCTCAGCCTGAGCCTCAGTCTCCCAAGATGCTGAGGAGCTGCCCACCCCTGGGTGTCAAAGACCGTCTCCGATTTCTCTGGCTAAAGAGAGCAGGCGGTGTGGGCGTAGGAACCAATGGGATAGGCAAGATGGAGGCGTCAGACTCACAGTTCAGGGACCAGGCCATGGGCCGTGATCCCAGCACACCTGCCTTCCTTGCGTGACCTGCAGCTCTGCAGTGAGGACACACTCACCTGACCTAACTGAGGCTACCCAGCTCAGGGAGAGTGGGTGGCGCTGAAATGCAAACCTTTGCCCTGGCCAGGTTGGCCCAAGGACAGGTGGGCAGGGAGGTGAATGGTAACCCGAGATGCCTGGCTTCTGCTAGGTCCCAGTGCACTGGGATAGGCTGGAGAGGTGGGAGTAAGAGGCTCCAGCAGCCTATGCCAACCTAACAGGCTTACCAAGGGGCCCTGACTCAGCCTTAAGGTGCCCTTTCTAACAGGTTATCTCCTCAGGCTCCCCACCCCCATCTGTAAGGTATCTCTGACTGGGAAGAGGCCTCACCTGTCATCTGGGGGCTCCTGGACCCTGTCTGCTTTCTCTGGCCAGAACACAGGGCTCTTCTGAGAAGTCATCTTCCCATGCATTTGTTGGTTGCTAGGGAGAAACAGGTCCACATCAGCAAGAGAGGTTTTATGGAGACATCTTTCCCCATCAGCCCCACCATGCCGAGGGCAGCTGCCTCTGCCCCCTAACCTAGTCGTTCAGGGCAAGGTTGAAGATCAGTAGTGAGAGTGGGATTCTCACACAGCGTCTTTCCTGGAAGCCTGAGCCAGAAGGAAACTCAATCTGTCTACCCCACTCCAAGCACCAGGCAACTGCTAGGCCAGCCAGAGTCAGGCCTCCAACCCCTCCCTTGAGAGGAAGGACTTAGGGGCACTCTTGTGCAGAAAGCAAGTTTCTGAGGTGCCCGAGCAACATTACCGGAACCTGGTAGGTCCAGGGAAAGGCCACTGGGCATTGGTAGGCCGTCACAAAAAATAATGTGGCTGAAGTTGTGGGGCCACAGGTGAGTGTGGCTGGCAGGTGTGGGGCTGCCCCATACCAACAGGTGACCTCAGTCACTTCCGGGCAGTTAGGACACTTCAACTATGACAGCCAAACCATTTCAAGAATGTCCCAGGAGGGAAGGTCTTCAGATCCTGTCTCTACCCAACCACTGCAAAAATAGGGTCCCCTATTCTTTCTTCTCCAGGTTTGACTGACATCAGTAAATCCTGAGCAGTCAGACTAGCCCTGACCGAGCAGGCCCAAGACAGTACAGTACAGGGGACCAACACAAAATCCTGTGTGGTAGTCCCTCCACAAACACAGAGCCAGAACCTGAGGCCTAAAAACCCGAAATGCTTGTCACCCTCAGTTCTGTGGCTGCACAAACACAGAGCCAGAACCTGAGGCCTAAAAACCCGAAATGCTTGTCACCCTCAGTTCTGTGGCTGCAACAAATCAGGTTTCTTTTTTAAAACCAGAATGACTGACTCAGCTCAAGACCTTCACAGATTCCTTGGTCTGACACCCTCCTGCCACACCATTGTAAAGATCAACAAACTGAGGCCCACCAAGGGAGAGGCCATACACAGGAACACATTGGGAAGAGCAAGTCAACCTCACCCATGAAACCAGCCCAGCCACAGCCATGTGGCCCGGTGAACTCTGTCCACAACCTCACAGAAGGTTTGGCACATACATCAAAATGCAGTCACATGCTGTGTAATGCTCCTCTAGCCAATGATGCACGGAGTGGTTGTGTGAAAAAAATAATGTGGCTGAAGTTGTGGGGGCACAGGTGAGTGTGGCTGGCAGGTGTGGGGCTTCCCCATACTAACAGGTGACCTCAGTCCCTTCCGGCGTAGACCTTTCAACATGACGTAGCAATCCATTTCTGAGAATGCCCAGGGGGAAGGTCTTCAGATCCTGTCCTACCCAACCACTGCAAAAATAGGGTCCCTATTTTTCTTTCTCCAGGTTTGACTGACATCAGTAAATCCTGAGCAGTCAGACTAGCCCTGACCGAGCAGGCCCAAGACAGGTACAGTACAAGGGGACCAACACAAATCCTGTGTGGGTAGTCCCTCCACAAACACAGAGCCAGAACCTGAGGCCTAAAAACCCGAATGCTTGTCACCTCAGTTCTGTGGCTGCAACAAATCAGGTTTTTTTTTAAAACAGAATGACTGACTCAGCTCAAGACCTTCACAGATTCTTGGTCTGACACCCTCCTGCACACCATTGTAAAGATCAACAAACTGAGGCCCACCAAGGGAGAGGCCATACACAGGAACACATTGGGAAGAGCAAGTCAATAACTCACCCATGAATAAGCCCAGCCACAGCCATGTGGCCCGGTGAACTCTGTCCACAACCTCACAGAAGGTTTGGCACATACATCAAAATGCAGTCACATGCTGTGTAATGCTCCTCTAGCCAATGATGCACGGAGTGGTTGTGTGACCGTGGTCCCACGAGACTGTACCACCTAGTGACATCACAGCTGCCTTACAGAGTGCAGGCACACTCTGTGATGTTTGCACAACAGAATTGCCTCATGACAAAGGTCTCAAAATGCTTCTGTGTCTTTAGGCAACACACAACGACTTCCTTAACCTAGTGCACTGGTTATGCTTGTGATTTGACTTTTTGACTCTCAAAGTTAATTTCTGGATTTATTTGGTTCCACCATTTCATATTTCACAGACTTTATTTCATTATAGAGAATATCAGAAATATAAAAAATATATCTAAAAGATCAAAATCACCCAATAAAAAAATTCCCTAAAAACTAGGCATGGTGGCGCAAGCCTGTAGTCTCAGCTACTTGGAAGGCAGCATTTACCTGTGGGTAAATGCTGTGACCATCCCTCTCCAGGAGCTCCAGGAGGCCGGGGTCTTACCTCTCCCATCACTGGTGCTAGGTGCACAGCAGGCCTGGCGCCATGTCTGAGGAGTGAACTGACTGTTTCTTTGAGCCAGTTGCTCATACCCCGTGGGTCATAAATCACTCCTTGTACCCATCCAGGTCCTCCCATCCCTACATTCAGACTATGGAATAACTATCAGAATCTAGGGTCCTGAAATCAGTATCTATTGTTTCAGTCAAAGCCACAAAAACTACCGTCATGAGATGTGGTGGAGCTAGGGGATGGCAGGTCAATCTTGTGACATTAAAGGAAGTGCCAAAGACTGGAAAACTCCTCAGATGACGCCCCTTCCCGGCTGAGCATGGTCTAAAGTCAAGGAAGCCTCTCAGAGAGCAAGGCAGGAGTCAGCTTGGTCTAAGGCCACCTGCCCATCCCCTCATTCCTCCCACGAGTACTTATCCCACCATAAGCCTGGTGGGGGGCCCACCCTACAGTATGGGATGGGGACAGGCAGCAGCCAACAGAGATGCAAAGAAAGGGAGACACAGAGTGTGGGAGAAGGAGAGAGGCAGTGAGTGGGAAACACAGAGATGCAAGTCCAGCTGCCTCCTGGTCTAGGCCAGGCCTGGCATGTGTGGTCTACTCTGCACTCCTCCCCAGGGTTAAAATTCTCCCTCACTCCCAAAGCCACATCACTGTCCTTGACACATTATCCTGTCATCAAACAGGGCTCGGTGTCACCCGCCCAAACCTGCTTCCTCCTAAGCACCCAATATCAGGGAAAGGCTCCATCCTCCCACTTACCCCACCAGAATCTCCAACCCTTTCCTCTCCTTTCCCCATGTGGCCCCACAAGCCTCTCCAGGACTTCACCACAATATCTTTTTCTTTATTCTGGCCACACCAGGCAAGCCCAGGCCACCATTGTCTTTTTTCACGGATGCTGGCAACCGCTCCCTAGCCACACCTGCCTCTCTCCCACATCTGCACTGCCATAGAGCCAACCTGGCCCAGATCTGACCTGTCACTCTCCTGTTGACTGTCCTTCAGTCAGTTCCCTGCCCCCCACACCCAGCTGGCCTCCCTGACCATCCTACACCCTCCTCCCACCCATGCAGCTCAGCTGAGTGCCTCACTTTCCTCTTCAAAGGGCTCTATCTGGAATCCCTTCCCATGCTGTCTACCTGGGGAATTCTCTGAAGCACCAGTTCAAACGTCACCTCCTCTGTGAACCTTCCCTGGTTTGCCCCAGCACAACTGCTCCCTCCCTTCTCCACGACCCTTGTCCCTTTCTGCACACTAGGCCCAGACTTACAACACCAGACTGCGCTTGTCTGTTTACACATCTGCCTCCCAGGTGACTGCACTCCAGCAAGAGTGTGTCTTGGACATTTCTGAACCCCTTGCACACAGCTAGCACCCAGTGTTTGCTGAAGGAAGGAAGGAAGAAGGAAGGAAAGAAGGAAGAAAGGAAGGAAGGAGAGAAGGAAGGAAGCAGGGAAGGAAAGAAGGAGGGAAGGAGGGAAGGAAGGAAGGAGGGAAGGAAGGAAGGAGGGAAGGAAGGAAGGAAGGAAGGAAGGAAGGAAGGAGGGAAGGGAAAGAGAGGGAAGGAAGGAAGGAAGGAAGGGAGGAAGGAAGGAAGGAAGGAAGGAGGGAGGGAAGGAAGGAAGGAAGGAGGAAGGAAGGAAGGAAGGAAGGAAGGAAGGAGGGAAAGAGAGGGAAGGAAGGAAGGAAGGAAGGGAGGAAGGAAGGAAGGAGGGAGGGAGGGAGGGAGGGAGGAAGGAAGGAAGGAAGGAAGGAAGGAAGGAAGGAAAGAGGGGAAATGACCCCTCCAAAAAAGCAAGACACAGAGAATGACTGATACCCAGTATGAGGGGAGAAGGAGGGAGGGAGGCAGCAGGGGTCACCCATGGCTGGGCCCTCCCCGCCAGGAGCCCTGGCCTAGTACCATGAGCCACTCAACTCACACGGGTTGACTGAGCAAGTTAAGCTGGAAGTAGCAGGTGCTTAGAAAAGGATGAAGAGGGCCAGACAGGGAGGGATGGGGTACTGTGTGAAAGCCCAGGCTGTCACCTCTCTACACAACGTCCACTTGGCTGCACTCTCCTAGGCCATCTGTGCCCAGCCCCCCACCCAGCCCTTCCTAACCACAAGGCAGGCCTCAATTGAGTTCCAGAACTCAATCGCCTGTGGCCCATGCTGAATAGAAACTTAGCCAGGCCTGCGTCAGCTGGGCCTGTGTGGTCACAGGCAGGGCCTGCCCCACAGCTGACTGGCCGTGGGGTGGTCCCCTTGGGCACCTCCTGTACAGGGAGGGGCCCACACTCTCCCAAGTTGACTTCTCATGGACATCTGAGATATTACAGCATCCCGTGGGTCCTGCCAGGTCTCCTTAGGGCAGGCCCAGGGCCAGCTTCACCTCGCCAGGCCACGAGGGCTCTGATCTCCAAGGAGAAATCTGAAAACAGCACGGATCTTCTCCAAACAAAAACCACATCAGCACTCAGTCCCCAGAATATAAACCCAGAAACCATGGAGGAGCCATCCCGGGACAGGAAGCTGCATGCCCACCACTTTCGCTCAGCAGTGTGGCATCTAATTGCAAGCTGTGTGTTTTCACCAGCACTTAGAATTCCTTTGTGTGGAGAGACTGCAATTTATTCTTCATTTTACCACTGATGAGTATATGCACTTTCTAGCTTTTGCCTGTTGTGAAAGTGCAATGAATATTCTAGTGCCAGTCTTTTGTTTGTTGGTTTCAGTATTAGGTATTGAACCCAGGTCCTTGTCCTTGCTAGGCAAGTTCTCTACCACTTGAGCCACTCCGCCAGTCGCCTGGTACCAGTCTTGTGAACACAAGTGATCACTCCTGTGGGTAAATACTTAGGACGGGAATTCCTGGGTCACAAGGCAGGTGACTTTAACCCTGCAGCCATGTTAAGAAACCACTGGAAGAATCCTGCCCAGCCCTTTCCTTTCATTGCAGCTCAGGGGAGAAGCCCTCCTCCTCTCTGAGCCCCTGGCCTGCCTGGACTGGAACCTGGGCACCGCGGCTAGCCAGGCATCACCTTGTTAACACCTCCTTGGTCCATTAAGGCACACAGCCTAGTTCGCACACTGTGCCAAGGAAGAGCTGAAACAGCTTTCCCATGTGGCAGAGCCTGCTCTGAGCCGCGGTGTCCTTGCTGGGAGCCTCCCTGTGTTTGCTAAGCCACGGTCCTCCCTACCCACAGCCCAGAACCGGGCTGACAAGACCTCCCCCTAGGGCAAACAGGATATAATGTAGATGGACTCAGGTTCTCGGTCAACATGCTGAAATTTGAGAATAAAATGTAAATTCCTTTTTTAACGAAGCTAATTCCATCGATGCTGCATCTGTAGGTACACAGAGGTCACACGTCACTTTTTATTTTCGAAGTTGACATTCAGTATCTAGGACATCGATACGCTCTTTCCACCGACTAGAAAAGGAGAGGAGTCGGACCATGGTAGCTCACGCCTGTCATCCTGGTTACTCGGGAGGCAGAGAGCAGGAGGATCGAGGTTTGAAGCCAGCCCAGGCAAATAATTCTCAAGACCCTATCTTGAAAATACCCAATGCAAAAAAAAAAAAGTGGGGGGGGGGCTGGTGGACTGGCTCAAGTGATGAGCACCCAGTCCAGCTGTCCCACTGGGTTCCCCTGGCAAATGGGTTCAGGGAGGGGTCTGAGAAACCCTTTATTCCTGTGGCAGCTTTGAGATGAAGGGGGAATGTGGGGGAAGAGGCCCTTCTCCCCACACCGGACCAAATGTCCTCAGCCACAGCAGATGGAACCACATGTGTGCTCCAGACCCAAGCAAAGCCATGGGCCCAGTGACCAGCAGCAGCCTGGGAGTACAAGGAGGAGCTGACCCGTCAGCCTCCCTTCCTAATGACTCCTAACTGGGAAACAGGAGAGGAGGCAAAGGGGTGAGACCAGAGCGAGAAGGCTGGAGGCACCATGGCAGGGAGGGAGCTGCCTGCAGGCTGGAGCAGAGCCTCTAGGTACACCAGGAAACGCCTAGAGTAAGGCAAGAGGGAGCAGAGAGACAGGGGCCACAGGCCAGGCCTCCAGTCCAGAAGAGAGCCAGGGGTCTGCTCCCCTGAGCTATCTGTTCTCCAGGTCCCAGTACGTGTGGCTGGACAGGAAGCCTCCATGTCTGATTTGCTCAAAGACCACAGACCGGGGCACATGGGTGATATGTGGTGCTACCCACATTCCCCAGGTGGAAATTGAAGGCAGCTGGGTTCTGTGACTTGCCACACACGGACAGGACTCTACGGGGGTCTCTCTGACACTGAAACCTGAATCGTAGCAACAGCCACCATAAGTTTTGAGGATAAGGAAAAGGACTCGGGAGAATGCTGGAACCACGTTAGCCCCCTCAGCCCAGGGCACCATGTTCCTCCCTGGGCTGGTCCACGGGAGAAGGGAGGTGAGCCTCTCTAACGCTCGGTCCAGCTCTAGTTCTGTAAGGGAGACGGTATTACCCTATTGTACAGATGAGAAAACTGAGGTTCAGGGAAAAAGCCCCTTGTTCTGAGCACATACCTGCAAAGTTGTGGAGCTCTAGCTGTTATCCCAGTCTGGCACAAGTGTGTGCTCTCTGCCCTGACACAGCCTGGAGTCAGTGTCCTGGGTTCAATGTCCTTCATGCAGCTATGCCTGGATACAGGGCCAGGCCCCCCAGCTCTCCCCAAAGACCCCAGGAGAGGGACCGGGAAGGCATAAAAAAGGGAGGTCTCTGGGATTGATAACCATGCAGGGCCCATCTGGGGAGTGGGGTTCCCTAGATGAGACTCCCCCTCAGGTTTTTCTCTCTCCTACTCAAAGAACTGAACCAACTGGGAAAGCTCGTGGCTCAGAGGGAGTAGGTGTGGGCTGGCTCAGTCCTCTGGGGAGGTGGGTCCAGGCTGACCAAGGACCCCTTTGAGTTGCACTGCTAACAAGCGCTCCTCCTCCTTCCAGGCATCTCAGAAGCCCTTATGTCTTCCTGTCCCCTGGATGCTGGAGGGCTGAGAGCAAGGCCGGCCCCATCTCCTGCCCTTGGCAGCTCAGACATTGCCTGGATGTTGTACTGGAGCTCAACCTGGTCTGCCCAGCCCCTCACCGCTTAGGTGACTGGACTGCCCCTAGTTAATGGACCCGGTTCTCTTTTCCCTGCTCCCCCCATCCAGGACTGGGCGCCCTCAGAATGCCAGAAAGGCCCAGACTCTCCCGGGAGTGGAGTTCAGTGCAAGGTGCCTGCCTGTCCTCACTCTGGGGTCCAGGATGCTCCTGAGCTGCCCCTCCCAGGGCTACCTGGGCCCAGATGGAGTCCCCGGTTCCACCCCCCAGCACCTCTCCTCCCCATAGCTGGATCTGCCTCCAGGGAGCGCAGACCCTTCCCCATCACCCACACACTGCCTGCTGCTCCCACAAACTGCCTCCCCCACTGACTCACTCATCACTTACCCAGGCCTCCCACAGCTCAGGTATGCAGCAAGTGCTTCACAACTACCACTGAACAAATGCTCCCAGCTGAGGGGGTGCTGTGTGTAGTCTGTTTGGAAGCAGTGGTCCTCATGGCACAAACACAAATCCCAGAGTGGCGACAGCTCACTCGGGTTTGCTTCCGGCTGCACCCTGACCCTCTGGTGACCCCAGATCCCCTTTCTGAGTCTCAACCTCTACGAAATGGCGGGTGGGAGGATCTGTTCTCTGACCTGCAGATCTTCAGGGCTGTTGTAAGGATCTGAGAGAGATCCTGGTGCGTCCACAGACCTGCCCACTGAGCTTCACGCCCCCCACACACCCTGAGAGCTGAGGGCGCCTCAGCAGCACCCACGGGAAGTGACGGTAGGGATTCCACTGGGCCCCAACCGCACTCACAAAGTCCCAAACCTCCCCTGCATGCCTGCAGCGTTCCTCTGGCCCACCACCCATGGAAGTTGGAGTCCAAGGCCAGCAATGGCTGCCTGCCTCCTGCTCAGCGCTCAAAAGGCCTGCAGAGTGACCACCATCACCAGGGAGACAGGCAGGGACAAACAGATGGCCAGGATTTCCTACAAAGCCCAGGCCACATCGTGGGGAAATCGGTTGCTTCTGCAGAGTACCCAGAGGATGGCTGGCCTCGCCTGCAGTGCCCACTGCTGGGATAGTGTGTCTGAGCTGGCACCCCTGGGCCTGGGGACACACCACTTTTTCTTGGCAAGCCACTTGGGGCCTGGCCATTTCCACACAGAAGTTGGTCATTCAGGTCTAAAAACAGACTTGCATTCAGTAAGAAACAGAGCAACCCTGTGCTCCTCGTGGCCACTGTGCTGAGTGGAGGGGCAGCAGAGACACCCTCAGCTGCCCAGACGCCCCACTCAGGATGCCAGGGGGTGTGGCTACTCTGGGGACAAGTGAGCTCTGTCCACCCATGGATACCATCCAGCATAGTCCACCCCTAGCACCCTAACACACCCACCTCAGAATCACTCTGGCCCTGTGGACCCACCAGGCTCTTCTCGGTGGCACAGGCAAGTGGGTGGCTCTGGAATCCTGAAAGGGCCAAGGGAGGGTGGGACAGAAGACAGGCTGGCCTGAAACTGTCTCATTGGTGAGGTGCCTCGACTAAGTCACTGTCTCTTTCTGGATCTCTGTAGCTCTTTTGCAAAGGGACAAGAACGTCTCAGCCCAGGACAGAGACACATTGGCTAAGGGAAGAAAGCAGAGGCCAGGAGCCGTGTGCACTGCAGATGGCCACCGGGCCTCTGTGGTCAGGAGGTGCCCTGTCCCAGCAGAGGCTGGCATGGTCCTCAGAGGACTGCCTGCCCTGGTCTACAGATCCTAAGTTGAATGTGTGCTATTCGCTCAGCTCTGGGTAAGTGCGGTGCGCTCGAGGAGGGAAAGGCAAGGTGCTCTGCACGGAATGCCGGCCGGGAGAAGCAGACACGGAACAGATATTTACAGCATGAACCAGTACGCAATTATAACTGTGCTGTGCACTGAAGGAAAAGCATGGGACACTAGTGGGGCTTGGATCAGGGTCCTGACTAGCCCCAGAGAGCAGAGAAGACTGTCCCAAGAAGAAAGCCTTGAGCTGGTACCCGTGGGTGCTGACCAGACTGACAAGGACAGCAGTGAGCGAGGGGTCTTTGTAGAGTGGCATTGCCGTGCAAAGGCCCTGGGGCCAAGGTGTGTGATATGTACGGGGACCATGAACACCTTTGTGTCTGGAGGGTAGATGTGAGCAGTGAAGTGGTCAGAGCAGGAGGCTGGAGAGGTTGACACGCAGGCTCTGTGGCCCCAGTGAGGGCTTGGTCCTGATCTTACAAGCAGAGGGGAACCAATGAAAGACCTTAAACAGGGGCCTGTTTAAAACCTTAAACACATGGATGTTTAAGAAACCACTGTGTGATGGACACAGGTGGCTCACTCCTGTGATCCTAGCTACTTGGGAGGCTGAGATCGAGAGGATCAAGGTTCGAGGCCAGCCTAGGCTCATAGTTCATGAGACCCCCCCATCTCCAAAATAACCAGAGCAAAATGGACTGGAGATGTGGCTCAAGTGGTAGAGAGCCTGCCTAGCAAGTGTGAGGCCCTGAGTTCAAACCCCAGTACCACATTACGCTAAGAGAAATAAACCAGTCATGAAATACAAACAACTGTACACTTCAGTCATCTAAGACACCTAAAGTGGTCACAGTCCCGGAGACAGAAGGAATGCTGGCTACCAGGGGACCGGGGAGGGCGCGAAGCCCAGCTATTGTTTAATGGGTATGGAATTTGTTTTGCAAGATAAAGTTCTGGAGATGGGATAAACAGCAGTGTTGATACACTTAACACTAAAACTGCGCACTTAGAATGGTTAAGATGGTTTAAGTTTATGTTGTGTCTGGTTTTTACAATTTGAAAAATTTTTAAAAGAACTCTTACAACTCAACAAAAGACAAATAAGCCCTTTTAAAATGAGCAAATGTTGGAATAAATATTACTCCAGAGAAGATATGAACTGGCCAATAAACACATAAAAAGATGGCTCAGGCCAGGTATGGTGATACACAGCTGTAATTCCAGCACTTGGGAGGCTGAGTCAGGAGAATTAAGATTTTGATGCCAGCCTGGCCTTCATATCTCGATCATTAATCATCAGGAAAGGTAAGTCGAGACCACAAGAGGTCCACACCCCGCAGGGGACAACACAGGTGTTAGAGAGGCGTCAATGGGGCCCTCCCACCTGCCTGGGAGAACGGGTTGGTGGTTCCACAAATGGTTGACCAGAGTGACTATGTGACCTGAGAATTCCACGAGCGGTGTCTCCCCGAGATGGTGAAAAACGCGTGTCCCGAGACGTCACGAGAACGCATCACCCGAGGTGGAAACGGCCCAACGCCAGCAACAGCTGAGTGGAGGAACGAAATGCCTCTCTGTTCGGCCAAAAGAGGAATGGGGCTTCACGAGTGACAAGGAACAACCCAATGACAACGGGCACGACACACGCCACCGTGCTGAAGACCATCATGGAACACACGGGTCCCGTGCACACATGGCCCTGGCAGGGAAATCCAGACAAAGCGGAGCTGGGTAGCTACTGGGAGCAGAGGGGCGGGGAAGGGGGTGACTTCTAACGTCCGTGTGGTTCCTTTTTGGGGCAATGACAATGTTCTGGAATTAGACAGTTGACTGTGGCTGCACAACGTCGTATGCATAGTAGACATCACTGAATTGGAAACTTTAAGTCAGGCACTGTGCCTCACGCCTGTAATCCTAGGCACAGATCAGAAGGATCAGGGTTTGAAGCCAGCCAGGGGAAAAAGATAGCAAGACCCTATCTCAAAAGACAAAAACAAGGCTGCAGAGTGGCTGAAATGGCACAGCACCTGCCTAGCAAGTGTGAGGCCCTGAGTTCAAACCCCAGTACTGCAATAAATAAATAAACAAACTAATTAATTAGTATAAATAAATTAATAAATGAGTAAGAGTCAGGCCAACTATAGGCAGATGAGGCTTTGTATTTGATAAAAGTGTTTCAGATAACTGGGAAGAACGGATTGTTCAACAGATATGGCTGGGCCAAGGCTACCTCGTGCCATTCCCAAAAATATATTCCAGGTAGATTAAACTCCTAAATGTTCCTAAATCTACAAACAGCTAGAATAAAATAGAGGGAGCTACTTGGCAAAATATCAGAAACGTTTTCCAAGTAAAAGACAACATAGAACACATAAAAGATTCAATTGCAAGAAAATTTAAAGCCTCCGTATGTAAAAAATGTACAGTGCAAGCTGAGTGCAGGGTGTATGCCTGTAATCTCAACTATTACGGAAGCTGAGGCAGGAGGGCTTTTTTTTTTTTGGCAGTACTGGGGTTTGAACTCATGGCCTCATGCTTTCTAGGCAGGTGCTCTATCACTTGAGCCACTCCACCAGCCCTTGTTTGTTTCACGTAATTTTTTTCTGATAGGGTCTTGTGTTTTTGCCATGGCTAGCCTCGGACAGTGATCCTCCTAGCTACACCTCCCAAGTACCTGGGATTACAGGCTTATACAACCACACCTGGCCTTAGGAATTTGAGACCAACCTGGGCTACACAGCAAGACCCTGCCCTCCATTCAAATAAAGAAAGAAAAAAAAAGAACTGACAAAGGATTGATATTCTTCATATATAATGAGCACATTCAAGTCAGGAAGAAAAATGCAAACAATCTAACAAAGGATCAGAGAATCTGAACAGGGCTGGGTGTGGCTCAGTGATAGGGGCACTTGCCCAGCATTCCTGAGATCTTGGGTTTCAAAAAATGAAAATGTCAGCTTACGCAAGAGCTATCTGTAAACCCAAGTTTATTGTGGCAATATTCACAAGCTCAGAGATCCGGAGTCAGCCGAGGTGCCTGCGAACAGATGGTTGGATAAAGACAAAGTGGCATATGTACACAGTGGAGTATTATTCTGCCAGCAAGAAGGGCAAAGCCCTGTCGTGTGCAGGCACATCAGTGTTCAGGGAAATCAGCCAGACAAGTATCCCATGTTTTCTGTAAGTGTGGAAACAAACAAGCAAACAGCACACCCTGAAGGTGAAACCCACTAATCTAGATAGCTAAATAGCTCATGGTTATAATTAAAGATCCAGTGTCATTGTCTCATTTTAAAAAAAGGAATATGAACAGGGGTTGGGGGCATAGCTCAGCAGTATAGCACGAGTTTAGCATTTACAAGGTACTGGGTTCAATTCCCAGCACCAAAAGTTTTATCTTTCTAAGTTTTTCTTGTTGTTGTTTTTTGGTTTTTTTTGTTTTTTGTTTTTTGTTTTTTTTTGGTGGACTGGGGTTTGGGCTGAAGGCTTTGCACTTTGTAGTCAGAGGCTCTCCTGCTCGAGCCACGCCCCAGCCCTTTTGACTTCGCTATTTTTTAGATAGTGGCTCACATTTCTGCCTGGGCTGGCCTGAATTGCAATCCTTCTATTTACACTTCCTGCATAGCTAGGATTACAGGCATACCCCAACATGCTCAGCTTTCGTTAGTTGAGATTGGGTCACTCAAACTTTTCACCTGGGCTGGCCTCATCCTCCAGATCTTTGCCTCCTGAAGAGTTGGGATTATAGATGTGTACTACTGAGGCTGGCTTCATGAGTTTTGTTGGGTTTTTTTTTTCCCCACAGATACCCTGCCTATTTTCTAGATACTCCTTTTAATTTCCATTTTTAAATATTTATTTAAGTATTTAAATATTTATCTTGGGCTGCAGGCATGGCTCACATGGTAGAGTGCATGAGGCCCTGAGTTCAAACACCAGTAGTGCCAAAAAACCCCAAAAGCCTTTTGTACAAGTGTCTGGGTACAATGTGATAACTTGACACAGGTATTCAGTGTGTAGTTGACATTTGCATGTCCTTAAACTTGAAAAGGTTTTCATTAACGAGTGATCACTGTACCAGTTTATAAGGCACAGTGGGACAGCTCAGTGCCAGGACGAGATTCGCACATCCATCATCATCATTTATCGTGTTTGGATGCTTTGAGTCCCCATCTTCTGGTTGTGCAGAGAACGTCACAGCTTACTGAGAGCTACAGAGAAACATGGGCTAAAAACGAACTTTGGAGCCAGGCACCCCGGCTCACGCCTGTAATCCTAGCTGCCTGGGAAGCTGAGATGGGGAGGATCACGGTTCAAGGCCAGCCCAGGCAAACAGTTCGTGAGATTCCCCACCTCCAACGTCAATAACCAGAGCAAAATGGACTGGAGGTGTGGCTCACGAGATAGCGTGCTGC